CCCCCCTTGTTTGCTTGTCCGGCCCCTCCTCTTCCTCACCACCTCCATGCCCCCTACCCTCCTCTTCCTCGCACCTTCCTCCCTCTTGTGCACATTCACTTTCCTTCTCCTTGTGCCTCCTTTCCTCCTTGCATCCCCTCATTCCCTGGCCTTCCTCATGCCTCTAATGCTCCTCGTCTTCCTCGCACCCTCCTCCTGACTTCCCATGCTCGTGCCCCTCCTCCTCGTGGCCTGCTACCTTTTTCATCCTCTTCCTCATGCTCCTTCGTGTTTTCCACGCATCCCTCCTCTTCCTCACATCTTCCTCCTCGTGCCCCCCACTTTCTCCTCCTCTCCATTGCACCTTCCTCCTCCTCATGGCCTCCTTTCTCCCTTCCTCACCCGCTCTCCTCCACCTCATCACACCTGCCTTCTTCATGCCCCTTCTCTTCCTCACACCTTTTCTTCCTCCTCATGCCTCCCGTTCCTCACACCTTTCTCCTCCTTGTGCCCCTTCATCTTCCTCGTGGCTCTTCCTCTCCCTCACACCTTCCTTACGTACACGCCCCTTCTCTTCTTCATGCCTTCCTCTTCCTTGTGGCCCTTCATCTTCCTCTCACCTTTCCCCCGTCCCCTTCCTCGCCCCCTCCTCCTCCTCCTCCTCCCTGCCCCACAGGCACAGGAGCTGAAGGAGCGGGGGAACCGGGCGCTGGCGGCGGGGGGCGGGGGGGGGGGCCCCGGCCCGTTCACCCCCCCCCACGGCCCCCATCGCCCGGGCCGGCCACAACCACGTCCTCTTCAGCAACCGCTCGGCTGCCTACGCCCGTCAGGGCGACTACGCCCGCGCCCTGGCCGATGCCTGCCGCACCCTCGAGCTGCGCCCCGACTGGGCCAAGGTGGGTGGGGGAGCACCCAAGGGCGCCCCGTGCCACGTGGGCGGCGGGGGGCTCACCTTGCGTCCCCCTGAACCCAGGGGTACTCACGCAAGGCGGCGGCGCTGGAGTTCCTGCATCGCTTCGAGGAGGCCAAGGCGGCTTACGAGGAGGGGCTGAAGCACGAACCGGGCAACGCGCAGCTGAAGGAGGGGCTGAGGGGGGTGGAGGCACGACTGGCTGGTACGGGGCAGGATTTGGGGGG